TCATTGTATACATTTAAAAAATTAGGAGAGCGAGAAAACTGTAAACATAGCAAAAATTTCTGCCTAATTTAGAACTAATATTTAATATTGTTTCAAAAATATTTGCGATTAAGCTATATGTCAAAAACCCTAAGCATATTTTGAGAATATATTTTTGTAAAAAAAAAAAAAAAAAAAAAAAAAAAAAGTTTATAGTGTTACCCATTACATAAAGACATGAAACTCTTTAAATATCTTTCATATTTATCAGATTAAACTACCATTTATATACCATTTTATATTTAGCAAATGAAAAACTGCTGTTAAGAATTTTTAATGTTAAATTTACATTATTATCATATAATAAATTATTTTTAAAATTATTATATATCAGTACTCATCAAAATTGAAATGACTAGGGATTTAAAAGGAAACCCCTCACTCAGTTTTTAAATTTTCTTCCTTTTAAATATGCAGAGATACGTAAAGAATACCATATTGTCTCAAAACATAATTGTGTCATATATAAACAAGTTTCGTCTTTTAAATACGTTTCAGAAAGACCAAAGGGGCTTGCATTTAAGAAGTACCCACGTATATAAATTTGATATATCAAAGTAAGTTACAAGAAAAGCCATTAAAAATCTAATTTTATTATTTGAGATAAAATTAAGTAAATATATCTCCCATTGCTTTACAAGTTAAAAAAAAAAATTAAGTACTCGGCTAGGATAAATATCTTAGAAGGGAATTGCACGGTAAAAAATAACATGAAAGACAGTGTTATTTAAACCTGAATGAATTAATATGTGTTATTTTCTCTCCTGATAAATATTTTATGTAGGTTTGCAGTAATTAAGTCTTTTAATTAAGTTTTGTTTAATTAGGTTTTGACCATGACCATTTAAGGTAATGTGGATTACCTCAGATAACAGGAAGTGCAAATAAATGGGCAACTGTAATTATTTGATAAAAAATTATCAGTACGATAATCTATTGCACATGGTATTGTTATAACACAGTGTTATTACGCATGGTGTTCGAAAAAAATGTCCCTGAAAATATTATCCTGAAAAAAATGTTCCAGTAAACATGTCTCCAGAAAAAATTAAATGTTTCTAGAAAATGTATGTCTATTTTCTTATTTTTTCAAAATTTATGGCAAATTATAGTATCATATCATAAATATCACCGCAAGTTTATATAACTTTTAAAAGAAATTAACATTATTTAGCTTTTACATAAGAAAGTTGCCTTACATTTAATAAAATCCGTTATACAGATGTACTAAATGTGAAATATTCTATAAAAGAGATTTAAATTTAATAGAATTAATCATGTGATTGCGTTACGTGGATAATCAGATATAAATTTAAACTAGCTTTTTGGAAAATTGTGCAATATGTATATCAATGTAGAGGTTACGTACATTATTTTTTTAACCGTTTTCGTCACAAAGGGCAAATAATATTCCTAATTCGTAAAGCCGTATATCATACTCCTAACAAATAATAATCCGTAAAATCACATTCCCAGTTCGTAAAGCCGTAGATGTTAGATATATCATCATTTATTCTTTAAGAGGCTGTGTACAATTCTAAATTTCATTTTGTACAAATTAAATTTTTTTAAGATTACATTTTAATTTAGAATTAAGATTAATTAGATAATAAGGATTACATTTTAATTTAGAATTACTTGGTCCTGTTATTATGTAGATTTAATGGTACAGGAACAGACATTGTGAAGCCGAGAGACACAAAGAAAGACAGTCGTGTGGGCGTTTGTTGAGCAATCGGAAGCTTAAATACATTAAATTGTAAAAGCAAATTTTATAATGTATCTGACAGGACTACGAGCATATAGACCAATTTGCCCTAAGCGTCTGTACACAATCTGCCTTGAAATTGTCATACCAGTGACTGAAGAGAGCTGACGAGACAGGTCTGAAGCTGTGCTCCGCCTGTTTCTTTTGGCAGTAACTGCCAAATACCGGTCCTCATTCGGCATTGTAACTCTGGGGCGACCTGTGCTGTAATGTCTACTCACATTACGATCATCTTGGAATCGTTGCCAAAGCCTGGAGATGACACTCTGGGCAATTCCAAGTTCGTCTGATACTTCCAGTTGGGTACGCCCATATTCCAGACGGCCGATAATTCTACCACGTAAAAAATCATCCAAATGCGTCCTTTGTGTCATAACTATTCGGTTATTGCACTGAAATGCTTATAAGGCGCCTGCTTATAAGACAATTTTACTTCTTCGTCTGCTCTTCTTCCTTATATATCACTCTCTTACATTCTCGTCATTGTGACGTACCATCGGTGTTATCTGGTTACTTCCTGAAATTTGCATATGATTCTTGAAGATGTGTGTAGTGATTTTACAGGTGATATATTTATTTTAGAGTTCGATTTCCGCAAGACTCCGAATTATCCTTAATTTATAGATATGAGTGTATAATCCGGACCTCAAACCTACAAACTTTCTGCGCATGCATTGCTTTGTCACATGCTCATAAGACCTTTACGGCTGCGAATATGCGTGTGCACAAGCGCAAAATACGTTTACACATGCGCATTTAATGTATAACGGATGGTATAAGCTAAGCTAAAATTATCTAATTCAGTTAGTGTTGCAGATTGTGTTGTTCCTTAATCTTCGAATTGAATCCGGCTTATTATTTTTTGCAGACTGTTAGAGCAATTTTATAAAAGTAAGCTTCGATTATGTCAAATAGAATTTCCGATATATATTTACTAATATGTAAAGGATCTACAAAGCGGAAGTATGTTTCGAAGTCCATTAAACAAAAGTGGAATTGCTGCAAAAAATGACCTAACCATTCTGAAATCTGTTTTATCAGTTTCACGCTGCTCTGCGGTGGGGGAGGGGGAGGAACGGCGTGGCACGCAATGAATTGGAAGTTGATCTGTATTATCACATAAAACGAAGCAACGTAAGCAACTTACATTGAAAGAAATGTTTAATAAAGTAAACAAATAAATATTAAGCTTTTTTTTTTTTTTTTTTGTAAATTTTGATACTCTTTAGATCATAATTGTTCTTTATTTCATAAATTATGGTTTCATATTTTTAATTTTATAATTTCTGCATGCCATCTTACCAGATTTAAACTTATGATCTATAATCCGGAATCGCCGAAGTCCCGACAAGTCCGGATTAACGACTTCTGATAGTATGTGGTTTTCAAGGTGTTGAATGACTGGACTTAGAAATGCATTTTTGCAAGGATCGCTATATCATCACCATACATTGTAAGTCTAGTATTTGGTCTGCAAGGAACGTCGTTAACATAAACATTAAACAATGTGGTGGCATGCCTTCTAAAATAATGCAACTGGTAGAATATTGTTGTGTGCGTACGAGTTATTAATAGATTGAATGTTCAAGTCTGATGAAAAGTTAATAAAATTTGCACAAGAAATAAAACAACATGCTGAAATGTTTCCTCACAGATATTCGTACAATATAACACAGTAGTTATATTTTAAGCTACTAAAATGTTAAATAAAACACACTTCAAACGCAGAGAAAACTAATCCGATCTCACCCCGAATTTGCTACAATCAACAACAAGAACTAAGTAAACAACTGAACTGAAATGTTTTTCTTTGGCTTTTATAAGCGTTGCATTGCATGGGGAAATAAACCAATTTTAATTACAATTCTACTAAAAATACCTAAATAAATACATAAACCATAACACTGCACGTCCCGGGCAGTACAATCCCTGGACAGGAACCAAACTTACAACTAAGGCATCAATGCAAAAATAAACATTACATTACAATAACAACATAAACAATAACTGCAATAAGTAACTTAAAACAAATCAAATACTATAAAATACTAAATAAAAGTCAAATGAAATACAAATTTAGAAACGAAAAAGGCCATGGTCTTAAACTATTTACAATTATATACACTATGTACTATGGCCATAGTAAGGAGCTAACCTGTCGTAATGAACGACTTTAGAGTTCTATGACTTATGGATCGGGAATACTCAAGATAACTGACACTTGGCAAGGTTCCAGAAATCGAGATCGCTAACTTGGGCAATAGGCACCAAACAGTTGGAAGAGTGTTTAGGTTGCTAGCCCAGATGTTAAGTAAGATAGAGAAAAGAAATGGGATATTTTCTTTCTACATGATTGATACTTTGGGTTGGGTTGGGTTTATTTAATTATGGCAAAGCACACTAGGGCTACCTGCCTAAGGGAAGGGATGCCTTCATGGAGGACTTTCTAAGGGAAACTGACTTGTATACACGTTACACATGGGGAAAATCACGAAAACGCCCATGCAAACAGCTGTTTGCGGGATTCGAACCTCGGACTGAACTACCAGTGTTCAGCGACTTTACCGCTCGGTCGCTGGTTGGCCCTTTGGATTGGGTATCGTGATTTTGCACATAAATCTTTGTACTGATGATCACATGACTTTGTCAGTAGACGTTTTGAATTTGCTGTTAAATTATTTTCTAAATAAATTAATTACACTTGTAATTAAAATAAGATAATTTTATTTTTATCCTTATAAGCTCCTTAGCATGGAATTTTTTTAATTCAATATTATTCATTTACTTTATAGAGCATATTCCCGAGAAATGTTTGTACAAAACTGGGACATATATAATGGACATGATTATAGCTGTACAAAATTTATAAAGACTTTAATAGCAGTTCAGAAGAATAAAGTTCACATAATAATAATTTACATTAAATCCGTCTTTCTCTTACTATTCCACTCTTAATTTAAAATTCCTAAAAAATAAACTCATTTCCAAACAAGTTTATGAAAAAAAAAAGACTACCGTAATTTCCGGAAGAAACGCCGCGGCGTTTACGTGTTTAAAACTTAAATTTTCAGCGGGTGCAGCGTTTCTACCCATGCGGCGTTTAGGTGCACTAAAAAATAAAATATTTCCTATGATGGTCATTGTACATAGTTTGGATGGCCTTGTCATTGTGCATAGACTGGTGCTGTTCCCACACAAAAGACCACTCAGTTGCTTTTTGCGAACGTTATTTTGTTTACGTTCTTTCCCTTGAACGGACCTACATGCCTTATTCACCCACAAGCGTCTAGCCCCTCAGATGCTAGTTTCCTCCTGATTCCTCCCTGATCGTTTGCGCAGATTCACGCGCAGCGTGTTTACTCCAAGGAGCTGGGCGTGGTCAAAGCCGATTTTTTTAAAACGCCACGCGTTTAAAACGATATGAACTTGGTGCGCATTACTGAATGTAAATTAATTAGTTTTTTTAGTTTTTCTGAAATAGTTTTCTTTTTAATTGGTGTATATATTTATTTGTTCAGATGTTTTATTATAAATCTATACATAAAGGAAGAATTTCTGATTTATTCATTTATTCACCTACACATCATCGCCCGAAGCTATTAGAGACACAGATATCAAATCTTAAGAGCTTATTACTTTTGTATCGAAGATGTCATTTAAGAACCGATTTTTTAAGATTCGGCGTGCAAAACATGTTTTTATGTTTTTTCATATAAGGAAGAAACAGATGTACATAAGATTCTTGCTTTAAAATGTATGGAATATGAATACATAAAAGCCAATTTCAAACGTTTTAAAAATTCGGCCCCGAAGGGGGGAAACGTGTTCTTCACATATTCCTTCATACCTCAGATATCCATAAGACAGACTTATGGATTATTGCTGTAAAATGTAAGGAATACAAATAAATGCTGACATCAACATGTGTGGGGAGGGGGACTGATTGGCATAAAATACAAGTTTACATAATGTACAAGTAAGCCTTATTAAAGGTGCACACCAGATATGTAAAGCTAGTTAGTATTAAAAAAAAACTTAAGGTTTCTATTATTTAATGTTATTAATAATTAAAACCCCAAAATAAAAATGTAGCAGCATGTTGCAAGTCGCAAAACTGTGATTACCATGTTCAGTTACTTTTGAACAATTCTACACATAATAAAAATGGCCAGTGCACAGCATGTGAATGTACATAGGGTTGAATAATTAGAAAATAAAAAACTTGACAAATATTAACTAGCAAGTATTGAATAGTAGAAAATATTGCTTACTGTTCAAATTTGGGATTGACTCACTTTCACCAAAATGTATTTATCTACATTAAAATGTTTGGTAATAATCTATTGACTGAACAGTATAAAAGCCAATGAATGATTGATTGTATGGACAATATTTGGTATTGTTGGACTTGGAGGAGGGAAGGAAGACAGTAATGCAAGGAGGATGAACAAAAATAGACTTACTCATTAATCACAGAATATATCAGCCTATCACGAGGCTCTGAGATAAAGGTTCAAAACCCTGTTCTGACCTTCTACATCTGTTCCTGATCATTTTAAGGATTAGAGTTGGAATTATCTTATTATTAAAGAGAAGTTCTGAAGAATGAGAGAGAGATAGTATTATATAAAATACGAAAAAAATATCATCTGACACATATAAAACAAATACAGGCAGTTGAAAGAAGATGTTTTAGATGATAAAAATGAACAAAAGGAATTGTGAATAGGTACTAATGACTATTGTTAAAATATATATTTTTCACTAGATGTGTTAATTTCTTCAGTGGAATTATGTGTAAAATTTTTGTGATCCAAAATAATTTTTAGAAATTGTATTATTGTCTTCATTCTGTGAAGTTATCGTAGAAGAGAAGTTTTTGTCAGTTTCCTTTTCGTTTTGTATCTGAGAATCTTTTGAGGTATTATATTTTTATTAGGTGGAATATCTTTATTAGCAGTTGGGAAATGTATTTCGGAGTAGTCTTTAAGGTACCCCTTGTATTATGGCGAAGTTATTGCTTTGATTTATCGCCAAGTTGCCAATTGTATTCGCCAAATTTATGGTAGCTTGAATAGTTGAATGTTATAGGAAAACCTATTGTGAACGTAATCGGGTGCATGCATGATTCTGGGAAATTTTTAATCATGGGATGTTTTGTAAGCGTTTTTGTGGTGTGTGTTGGTTTGATTCTTTAGACGGTAGAATGGCCAAATATAGTAAGATTAATTTGAAGTTTCTGTTCGATTTGGAGTGAAAGGGGAAAAGAGCTTTAATTGACTGGTGTGTAAATGAAGGTTTACTTAGTAGCCATTATAAGTGTCCTGTATGTACAGGGTGATCAGCGAATAAGCCCTGATTTCAAAATTAAATATCTCTACAACAAAAATCGATAGAATTATGCGGTAAACTGTACATTTATTAGCAAAACTGTAAAAATAGTGTACAAAAGTGTAGAAAATTTAGTTACGAAAATCGTTAACAGATGGCGCTCTGCATTGAAAATTATTTCTGAAAGGAGTCAAAAAAATAATTAAAAAAATAAAGCAGGCCTTGCAATCAAAATACAATTTTTTCAAAATGTTCACCATTCGAAACAATGAGGTGGCGTAAATGAACAATGAAATTTGACATCACGCCTTGCAATGTCTCGACGGAAATGGAATAACATGCAACACTAATGAACGATTCAAGTTCATCTAGAGTAGCAGGATTGTTTCGATAGACAGCGTCTTTCAATGCGCCCCACAGAAAGAAGTCACATGGACTCACATCGGGAGAATATGGAGGCCAAGCTATTCCTGTGTCAGTAAATTGAGGATAATCTAACGCAATTACTCTATTCTCAAAGTATTCATGAAGAAAGTGAAAAGCTTTATTTGTTCGATGTGGTCGAGCCCCATCTTGCAGGAACCAGTCGATACCTAGTCGACCCTCCAACACTAGTTGAATGCTGACAAATTGTTCTAAAATTGTAACGTAACGTTCAGTAGTTATTGTTTCTCATATGAAAAAGGGTCCGATAATGCCTCTGGTGCATACCACAGCCCATGTTATAACTTTAGGCGAATGCAGTGCTTTTTCTTCACACAATGAGGATTTTCAGTACACCAAAAGCTCCAGTTTTGTTTATTAACGATTCCATTCAAATGAAAATGTGCTTCATCTGTGAACCAGATGCAGCTCCCATCAAATCTGTCGTTGTTGATCATTGTTAGAATCTGATTCGCAAAGTCAACCCTTTGTTGCACAGCTTTCATGGGTATGGCCTGATGACTTTGGATTTTGTATGGAAACAGCCGTAGGCTATTTTTAAATATTTTTTTGTGTGCCCGTTCAAACCTGTCTCTGATGCTTTTCCTAGGATTTTGCTGAACAAATCCAGAAGCTTTGGTTGCATTTTCAGGAGTGACTATAGTTTGCTTAGGCCCAACGTTTCCCTTTCGATCATCAGCCATGCTGCCAGTCCATTCGAATTTCGTGAAGAGCATGAGAATGTTTTTCGCATCGGGTCCAACTGGAACATTGAATCGGTTTTGAAATCTGCAACGTGTTGCCATAGGACTGTGTTCTAATGGGCGAAATTCCAGAACCAAAATACACATTGTTCAATGAAATACATTATTTCACTTTCTACGCTAGCCTCTTTTCACTAGCCAACAGTTGTACTGATCACTTTCGACTTCGAAGCACATTTTAAAGGCTATTGTTAGGTCATTGCGATTACAGCGCCATCTGTTAGCGATTTTCATAACTAAATTTTATAAACTTTTGTACACCATTTTTACAGTTTTTTCTAATAAACGTACAGTTTACCGCATAATTCTATCGATTTTTGTTGTAGAGTTATTTAATTTTGAAATCAGGGCTTATTCGCTGATCACCCTGTAGGAAGGATATGCGTCTAGTCGAACGTAAACACCGCTTAGATGGATGTGAATGAGTTTGTAGGAAGAAAGGTTCAGATGGTCACTATGTGAAGCGTTCGATCAGAAAGAGTACTTGGTTTGAAAAAAGTCATTTGAGTATGATTGATATTTTGATTTTTACGTGGCTCTGGGTGTACGAAGCGAATTCGAAAATCATGGTAAGCGAATATTTGCTTTTGGTAGTGCTTAAATGTATATCATGTTTTTTCTTTTTTATGTTATTTTATTGTTTGGTTTAAAATGTATTTTATTGAGATTATGTCTTTTTTGTTTGCCTATATTGTAGAATTTGGTACTCCTTTGACTTTTTAAGTGAAAATATATCGATGTGTACGTGGACAAAGTAAAGGGAGAGCGCAATGCAAGTTTGTGCAATTCTGGGATTTTTTATCAAGTGAAAATAGGTCGATGTGTACATGGATAAAGTTAAAAGAGTGCGCAATGCCACTCTTTTAACTTTATCCATGTACTCAATTTTTGAGCAATTCGAGGAATTATTTTTAAGTGAAAATAGGTCGACGTGTATATGGATGAGATTTTAATGAATCTACTTATTCTAAACATGTTTGATTTAGTTCATTCTTTGTGTTCCAGTGAGAGGGTCTGTGATTTTTTTTTTTTTTTTTTTTTTTGGCTACTTAATTCAAAATTCATTTTTATCATCTATAATAAGTGGATAATTCATTATGTATTGTAGTTGTAGTATAAGTAGCAGTATTTCTAGTGTTCTGATGTCAGTAATGTATTTAACAAGTAGCAGTATTTCTAGTGTGCTTGCACATACTCTACATAACTTATAAGGTATTTCTCCCGCCTTCTTGGAGTGGTGATCTGCGACTGGGCGCATATTCCAGAGGTCCGCAGTTAGATTCCCGGCGAAGGCATTGCTAATTTTTCATTCTCTCTTGCTTCCAATGTAAAATTCTAATGTCTGTACAGTGGCGCCCGAGCTAAAAGGGTGTTAGATGATTGTTCTCCACACCCAGGATTTGGCGATTAATTCCCCTAAAAACCTCAGTCGCCCTTTAAAAGGAGGAGTATATAAAGTATTTCTCCCACCTTCTCGGCATGTCTTCATGGTGTGATGTGTATCCAGAGGTCCGTGGTTTGATTCCTGGCAAAGGCATTGCATATTTTTCATCTTACCTGCTTCCAAAAAAATACCTAATGCCTCTACAAACTGATGAATCAATACAGCTGCATATATATCAATGAATGCATATCAGTGCACTGTATGTGACATGTACAAGTTTTGTTACTTTCATGTATAGTGTATATTTCTGTATTATGTGTTGATGAAACAGACTACCCATTCTCAACTACATATAAACAGTGTTTCATTTGTTTTATGTTTGATTCTTAAATTCCAAATCTTACTTGTTAATTTACCTTTATTTGCTGTAATTAAGCGATGAATCATTTTATCTCTTGCAAATCTCATAATACCATGTATAGTGTTATCCAATCTCTTAACATTTTTTCCATGAAGGTAAATATATTTTAATGTTTGGTGCATTCGTTCCATGTGCATGTTTGTGTTAACACCACTGTGAAGTCTAAAACAGTATGCCCAGCTAGATCTATTTTGTAAATAATATGTTTCAAAGTAATTTGCAAATTCAATAATGTCCGGATCTTCTTCAAGTAATTTTATTGCTGCTTCTTTCAGTGTATGAAAAGTATGAATGTCTTGTTCTTCTAAGTGAGACCTACCATATTTGACAGCATATAAAACACACTTTTTTTCTTAAATTTGGTCTCTAAAAAGTTACCTGCGTCTTATACGTGAAGGACACAGTCTTATACGTGAAGGTAATTGCATTCAATAATTGTTTATTTGGCTTCTATGAAACGTGAGAACTAAAAGAAACCATGCTATTGAAACTTTTTTCCTTGTGTGTGGCCATGTAAATAAGGGTGCGTCTTATATGCCATCAAATACAGTAATAATTTTATATGTTTTTGCCTGTTTTTCAACACCATTGATTTTTTTTTTTTTTTTTTTTTAAATTGTTTCTCCGGGTTCTATCAATATGCCATGCACAAAAAAGATGTTTCTGTAGTAAACCCATTTCAGACTTCCAAGCATTAAAAAACGATTCAGCCATATCAGACATAAATATTTGTGGTTGTATTTGCCCAACTTTTTCTTTAATGCATGAAAAAAAAAAAATTGATAGCACAGGTTGGTCACATCGATTAGAAATTAAAAATGCACACAGGAATCCTTGGTGCAAATCATTTATTGTAAGTTAAGTTATGAGTTCAAATCTGTATGCATTAACCCCATGTGTACCATCAATACATATACAAGTCAGAACTAAATTTTTTCACTATCTCTCTTTGTGCTTCTGTCATCATTATCAAAACAAAATCATTTCCTTTTAGAAATTAATATTGTGTACAATATTCATTCATGCTATGTTGATCCCTGGGTTTTATAAAATGAAATGCATTGATGTTCAGAATTTTGCATTTCAGGTACCCGTGTATCTACACAAACCCAATCATTTTCATGTTTAACAGAATTAGAAGACAAATTGAAAGATTTTTTGATGTTATGTAAATCTTGTTTTGTAAGAAAAGGAAACCTCTCAAGCCGGGCATCTCATAGAGAATTTCCAATTTCATCTAAAATATTATCCAGAGAAATTTTTGCTGCTATCTTTGATGCAATATTTTTTATTTCATCTGTTGTTAAAAATAAGTGACCTAAATCATTCCGATGCCCAGTATGTATTTTCTGATATGACACTACACATTTGCCATCTGTATGTTCTGTTACTTTTAATGCAGCTGCACAATATGTATTTATTTTATTGCTACCAAGGGTTTTTAAGTGACACAAACCTTTACTTTCTGATATAAAATTTCCTGAACAGTGGCATTACACCATGTATATTAAATATGCTTACTCCATAAGAAATTTTGACTTCGTACTATTTTCAATTTCTGCCTTCCATGCCAAAAAATCATTAAATGAATTAAATTCTAGTTCAGTATGATTCAAATCAACATCATGAACATTATTGAAATGAAATATTATTTCTCGCTTTTAAAAATTAGCATAACATACAGGACACACATAATTACCTGTTAGAAGTATGAATTTTATTTTGATGATATTTCCAATTTTTTAGGTCACTAAATTTCAGATGGCAGTCCTCACATTTGTAGTTTGGTGATTGACCACTTTTTAAAGAATCATTAATGTAGTATTATTAGAGTGTAATGTGTTGGTATGGCGTTTCAAACTGCATTTATTATGGTACGTTTTTAAGCAATCAGAACATACAAAATTACTCTCAGCCACACTAAAATTATTTGCACAATCAACCATACTATTAGAACTTAGTTTTCAGAGACTTAATTAATGTAGTATTATTGTACATATGCATGGCGTTTCAAATTGTATCTACAGTTGAAAGTTTTAAACAATCACGGCAAACAAAATCACTCTCAGCTATACTAAAATCATTTGCACAATGAACCTTATCACTCACAACACAATCAGAATTATCACACAGGATTACACCTTCCTGATTTTGATTCGATTCAGAATCAAAAATACCTTCTGGGGAAACAGAAGTACTTGGCCATGAAATAGGCAGTTTTTCTTGATTTTATGCGGAAGATATAATAATGGAAGCAAAATAAAAAAAGAGAACTGTATCATCAATCACACTTTACCACAGCAGTGCAAACAGTAATAACAGTAAATACGACGCGCCTTCAGGGAAATGACGACATGCGCAGTAATCTGCGCAGATGTTCAGGGAGGAACCGGGAGGAAACTAGCATCTGAGGGGCTAGACGCTTGTTTATTCACCCTAAACGAGATCTCAGAACAATAACATTCTTCCCCCTTTCAAATCAACATTATCATAAGTTTGAATAGTCTCTCTCCTCTGCCATTCGATGATCTTCCAGGACCCATCCTCTTCCACCCGTCTTTTCTGCAATTTTTTTCAAAGGCGGACACGACTCCACCTGCCTCCCAATAACGAACTCTGACGTATTTCCCCTTCAGCATGAATGGATTTTTCTGGCATTCTGCCAAATACAGATCCCATCAGTTAGAGTACAAGTACTTGTTGGATAGTTTTTAATTAGGGAGCGGAAAATTTTTGAAATGTCTCTAAACGGCACAGAAGCTATACATTTCTTACCTTTAATTTATTTTTGAGTTATGGTTTCATTTCATGCATTTTTCTTAACTGGTATGTCATATATCAGGACTTAGGTTGAGTTTTTTGCATCTATACGGCCCACGACGATGTCACGACGCAATTTAATCTATTGCGGCGTTTACGCTGATGCGGCGTTTCTGTGTAATTTTAATTTTTTTCCCGCC